ATAATGTTCAAGATTAAGGACGATTCAACTCCAATCAATCCAGGACACGTGTCCCGACGATGAAGAAAATAAAAAATGAAGAAAGCTTCGATCCAGAATACTCTAAGCCTTTTGCACCAAAGTACAGTCAAAATAATGTTCAAGATTAAGGACGATTCAACTCCAATCAATCCAGGACACGTGTGCCGACGACTCATGTTAAGATCACATGGAAAAAGAACAAGGAATCTAGATTTTCACGAGAAATCATTGTAGAAGTCGCTGTAGTAATCACTATAGAACTTCTTTCTGCTCGGTCAAGTGAAAAGATTACCGTGCAGATTTCAAACCAATTCAAATCCAGCGACAACTTTATGGATTTAAAACGAGTTCAAATCCGAACTAAAGGTCTATATAAGGAAGCGACCTCACTTTAGCCATGCATCTTAAGTTTTATTTTGGAGTTTATACTTGAGTTGTAAACTTTTTGAGTGTTTTTTTCTCTCTTTCTCTCTTCGATTTTTGCACTCCTCTATCTTTGTCGTTGTCTAAGTCCTATATATTTGGTGGTGTGTTCAGCCTTGTTCCCCACTTCTACAGTTGTAATATGTAAGTTTCAATTTAAAGTTTTATAATATATGTGTTTATGTCATTTTAGCACTTATGTGTATGTTTATGCTTCCGATTTTCTATTAGTTTTGTGTATGTTTGTATTAAATGGTATCAGAGCCAAGTTGGTAATAGTGGTAAACTATAGAAAATTATCCAAAAATATTGATATTATAGTAAGGTTCCAAAGTCGCAGTGACCAAAAAATCGCTATAAAGCCAAGAAGGTGTGTGAAAGTGTAGGGATTGTTTCCTGTTGACTCAAATCTAAACTGTGATATTACTCCTATGGAAAATTTTCTCAGAACCCTATCTATCAGATCGACTTCTACTAGTTCTAGTTCTAATGTTTTACGTGTTAATAGTAAGGAAGAAACAATTATAGATAATATAGAAAAACAAATTCAAAACTGGAGTATCCCCAAGGTTCCAGTTCATGATGTTTACAAAAAAGGAACTTTTGATTTTAAAAGTGATTTTTCAATTAAAACAATTGAAAAAACTATATCTGTTATGGAAACTCAAGACAGTTTCCAGCTTCTATCTAACATATGATAGAAGAACACAGAAGGAAAAAATTTAACTATCTTCGTATTGGATTGGTTCAAATGGCGATTAAGCCGTTAACCAGAACGGCGTTAAATAACTCTATTCTACTCTGTCTTAGAGATAATAGGTATAGATGATTTACTGATTTTCTTTAGGGATTGTTGAATCAAGTTTATGCAATGGCCCTATTTATTTTAACTGTTTTCCAAACTTTTATGTGGCCCTTTCAGATCCAAATCTTTTAAGGGTTTTAACTTTAAACTTGAGGACCCAAGGGTTTGATATGGAACCAAGATCCCAAAACCTTGCTTTTGTTTATAAGATTTGTTATAAGGTTATGAATACTTTATGTCCAAATGCTAGACAAATGGATACAAAGGAACAAACCGTGTTTTTTCAAACAAATATTAAGAAATTTAATCTAGTGATACATAAAATGGTATCATGGAACCAGATCACTTTCCCCAAAAGGTGGTCTCTCCATTCTGCAACTCAACCAAGAGCTTTAGAAAATAGGGAACCAAAACAAATAGTTGAATACCCTGATGGTGAAATTGAAATACAGTTTCCATCATCAAGAAGAACAAGACTAAGTAGAACTAATCCTCCTCCTAGAGTAACTTCTAGGGTTTCTACCTCATCAGTTCCTCAAACAGATTATGAACGATCCCCTAATGACAGGATTGTTTTAGATGGTTTAAGAAAAACCTCTGATCAGGTTCAACAACCTATGCATAGAGTGGATACCGATGATTCCTTTTCCAAACAAAGGCTGAGCAAGAAAAACCTACCTTTTCCGACTTTGAGTTTGGAACTTATGTTAGTAAAAAAGACTCAGAGAACTTTTCTATGAAAAGTATAATAGATTTATGATATAACATATGTGCGTGTGTGTGTGTGTATGTATATATATATATATATATATAGATATATATATATCACTAAAAACTAATACAAAAAATATTATTATAAGCAGTCCTGTTCATCCGAAAAACTAATACAAAAAATATTTCGATCAATATTATTATAATCAATAGGCTCAAGATATGCAGCGAGTTAAGTTCCAACCTTATGAAAATCATTGTTTTTGGTTTTGAATGAAAGGTTTTGTAAATTTAACCATGAACAAGGATCAAGGCAACCTGACATAAAAAAAAATTATGCATATGGCCAAATGTGCAAATTGCCTTATGCAATTACGCATAGTGTTTTGAGTGTCTGCCTTGTGCAAATTATGCATATTGCAACTCAACAGGGAGACTCTAGTGTTTTGAGTGTCTGCCTTATGCAAATTAGCAATACCAAGCTACTTTCCAAGTAATAGCTGATATTTTAGTCGACTTGAAATCAGAATAGAAGCAAATATTTTAAGTACCATGAACCACACACAGTTAACTAATTCATGATGATCCCCCTATACAAGGACAAGCTTACAGCCAAATGTCTCACCTAGTCTTGAAAGCCAAGGAGGTGATTTTTTTTATTTGCATTCCTGACTTTTGCAGAGAGACGCTAAATCAATTTCTCATTTAGGCTAAGTATGACCGCTTTATCTTTTTTTGAGTAAAGGTAACCTCCTATAAATTAAGAAAAATTACATAGTATTCAGTTCTAAAGATGGCATCCCACAAGTTGGGTGCTCAGTATACAATATTAACAGTATCAATCGAGAGAGCAGAAGTATCACTGCTTTATCAATAGTTGAGACTCAATCTGAGAGCATTTTGGCTTGCTCCAAAGAATGTTGCTCATAACACATGATGTTGCTCATAACACATGATTCAATCGAAAAGCAGCTTCAAGAGACTAAATGAAATAGCTGAACTACATGCCATCCCACAAAATTCTCAAATAGTAAACACTAGACATCCCAAAAAAAATATTTCCAATCTCTACAAAATATGCTGATTGAGAATGATAGTGAGAAGGAATGATCAATAAAATCATTATCAGTTCCTTCCTCAGAATTCAAGTAGAACTAAAGGAAAAATAACTTAAATACACTGAATGGGAACAACAGGGGAATATGAACAATCTGCCTGTACAGGAACTGACGGCTTAGATCTCACGAGTAGCCAGCATAAACCACATCAAAACCGTTAACAAACAAAAATTACCAAAATTTCAATGCCAATAAACCCTAAATTCACCATTTCGCCGCTTGAATTATAGAGTCTATGCTTTAATGGGGAAGAAAAATAAAATACCTAGGGTTTCATGGATATGAATCATGAGTTCTTTCCCTGAAGTCTATAAGAGAACATCTGGTTGTTGATCTAAAAGAACAAGAGAAAAACACAAACATTGCGATGAAAAAAAAGGGAGGGCAAAAGGAACTTACTTGAGAACCATGGCGTGCGGCTAACTGTAAAACCCTAACCCTAATTTTTGCCTCTGCAATGGACTGAGCCGAAACCGTACTTCCTCAATTTAACCGCCTTATAATGTCTTCGAAAAATATCGAAATGGGGTTGAAACCACGGTGGAACTGACTACCCTGCCCCGCTGAGTTCACAAGAATATCTAGATTGCCCTTTTAGGTTGAAAAATCGTTAGGAAAATTATAAGAAGTATATCTTAATTTTTGGATTATTGAAAATAAGTCTCAAACTTTTCAAAACCTCATCCCATCCCATCCCTATCATGTTTTTTATTTTTTACATTTTTTTTATTCAAAATAGCCTGCACGGTAGTCTTAAGACCGTGAAGACATCACAATAGACTAAATACCATGATGGTCATCAACGGTTTAATATTTTGAGGTATTATGGCACTTAAACAGTCGTGATGGTTATTAAGAGCATCACGGCGCTTAAAAAGCCGTGATGACCAATAAAGGTTCTTATGCCCCATGATGAAGGTATAACGATTAAATTAGAACCGTGATTGTCTAATAAACCAGCACAATTTTTTAAATGTCGTGATCCTTCAAAACTACATTTGACTTACAACCCACCATGACCATCATAGTTTCAATAGATTGTGATGCTTCACGGTTCTAAGACTACTATGAAAGCTATTTTTGTTTAGTCATCCAAAAATAGAAGTATGGATGAGGTTTTAGAAAGTGTGGGGTTTATTTTTAATAATCTAGAAATTAAGGCATATTTTTTATAATTTCTTAAAATTGTTTTTTTCATTTAATATAAGAATTTTAGCTTTGCTTTCTTTTTTTTTTAGATGTTATATAATTTATTTATTTATTTGGTTGTTTGTAAGAAACATCAACTCGGACTGGCCGATTTTCTTGGAACTAGTGGACGACTAGTTCCATCTTCTTAGAACTCAAACCAATACCTCTTAATGATATTGTTTAGAGCATTATATGACATACAATATTGCTTTGGAATTACATACTATGAGACCATTTACCTTTGTTATGAGAAAGACCATAAATACCCCTAGCCATTTGATTTTAAGGTAGACAACTTAAGGGTTCGACACAAAATTCGAGCAATTTTTGGTGAACTATGAACTTAGACGGTGACACACTCACAACCACCCAATTTGAAATACGATGGATAAAAATGATTATGATTTTTTTATACCAAAAAATAAATGATCTCTTTGTATATATATATATATTGAGATATCTAAATGCTCTTTCCACTTTTAAAAGTTTTAAAATAATACTTAAATTTTACAAATTTTGCTTTTCTTTAAAAGAAAGTTGCTAAGTGGACCGAGCCAGCTTATAGAATCAACTCGCTAGTTCAGCCGATCCGACTCAAAACCAGTGGGTCGCCGGTCCAACCCATTGGTCCTACTATTTACACACTGATTTTGTGTGGTTCATTACTCTTTGTCGTAAATTTTGTTTCTCATTATCTCTAGATCGAATTTTGTTCGATTTAGTAAGGCCTTTAAAATTTTCTATTTGCAGTTTTGCACTAAGAAAAATTACTCATGAAAAACTTGTCCACTTTTACAGCTTTGAGCGAAGCCTCGAAATTCCATTTAACCGAGTTTAAATCGCATGTTTATTTGATATTGTGATCCTCATCATCATCATAGTTATTATTAGAAAAATTATTGAAAATATATCTTAATTTTTGTCTATTTAGAAAAATCTTAACTTTCACAAACTTTATCCTCACGTTTTTTTCTTTAATTTTGGGCTTTTTTTACCAGAATAACCTTCACAGTAATTGTATTACCGTGAAGCACCATTACGGTACTTTAAGTACCATAAAAACTAACTCATGTTATATGACATTTTATATACCACAAGGACTTGAAGTATTATTGCAGCACTAAAATTACCGTAATACTATGTTAAATGTTGTGCATTAAGATGACGATGTTTAAACGTATTATGGTACTTAAAGTACCATAACTTTACTGTTGTTTTATACGGTGGAAAAACAATTGTAATTGTTTTTGTACTTTCTCACTTTTTTTCACAATTTCTTTCACCGTAAAAACCCTATTTCCATATCCTACTCTCTCTAACCCCTCCTAAAAACCCTATTTTTCCATCCCACTCTCTAAACCCACACCTCTCTTCCTTAGCCTCTCTCTCTCTCTTCTTTAGCCTCATCTCTCTCTCTCTTCATTATCCTCTTCCCTCTCTAATCTCTCATCCATTTTCTACTCTCTCCTTCTATTTCTCAATCTCTGAACGAGGTCGTTAAGAGTTAACCAACACCATTTTATAGGTATGTCATCAAAATCGTCAAACTTTTTATTATATTTCTTTGAATGTGCGAACACTATTTTTTAGCAAATATTATGTTATTCTTCTATAGTACTTGATGTAGTTGGGTTGGCCATTGTAATTTTTTTGTCTAAAATATTACGTAAATAAGTTTTGGATCTGTATTTATATTATGGCATATGTATTGCAATCTAATATCCCTATGTAATACAACATCCTCATTACTTTATTGTGTTATTGATCCAAAAAATTTTCATTTCATATTTGTTTTTAAATTGGATATACCAATAGTGATTGAGCTTGCACGCACCAATAATAGTTGATGACATAGTGAAAATCGCTTTACACTTTGGTAGTTTTTTGTGGTTCTTTCAAGAGGAATTCTAATGATGGACATGTTTTGTATGGCGGTGGGGATCTGAAGGTTACATTTTTTATGGGGATCCCATCCTTCGACCAAATAAAGGCTCACTTATTAAAAGTAACAAATTATGCCCCAAGTACCATGTTTATTAGGTATATTGACTCATGGCTACCAAGTAACAATAATATGGTACGTATTGACGATGTTGACGACATTGCAAATGTGATGGAAAGGTCTTCTCTCATTGCTTTGTATGTATCAAATAGATCTATTGAGCTGGACTACACTGAATCTCGACTACTAACAGTGCATGATAATGGTCTACCAAGATTGGCCATGTAAGAAGTTTGCAATGAAATTTATTTTTTTTATTTGATAATATTTTTAGTGCAGATGTTACGGGTTAGGATAATTCTCATTTGTTCTTCTAATATTTTTTAGACAGCAATACCTGACCAAAGCAAGTAGTTCAGAGTGAAGATGAGCATGATTCAGAAATCGAGTGCTATATCGACGACATCGATCCGATAGAAAGCCCTATCAGGATTGACCGTTATGAAGTCTTACTTCAATAGGGTTTTAATGATATACAGGCATGTCATAATCACCTTATTAATTATGCCGTATCACAATACTTCAATATGAAATTTGTAAAAAGCAAGATGGGCGAGGTGTGCTGCAGATGAGCATTCATGACGAGTGCGTTGTTGGAGGGTTAATGCAATAAACTTCTTGAGGGTGAAGAACTTTGTAAACGTGCACTCTTGTGCCGACACACTATGCATGGTTCATCAGCCCCTTGCTCAAAGCCACTGGGTGGCAAGTAAGATCAAAGACCACTTGAATGATATGCCCAATCTGACACCTGGAGATGTTATTAATGATGTATAACATGATCACGATGTCATGCTATCTTGCCAACAAGAATGGCGGGGAAAAGAGGTTGCACGAGGAATAAATGATGATTCTCATGTTAAGGTATACGAGGATCTTCCCAAGTAGTTGCATAAGATTCGAATCACTAACCCTGAAACCCTAACGATTCTTCAAACTTATAATCATGATAGGTTTGAATGTGTGTTTATAGCCAATCATCCATGTTTGTATGATTTTATATATGATTGCAGGCCATTGATAGGATTAAAAATGACTTTTTTAAAGGGAAGATACAAAGAAATACTATTGGCCACAATTGGGTTTCGGGTAGAGTTTATAGGTGTGCGATACTATTACAGCATTTCAAGCGTCGTAATAATACTTCAACTCCTTACGATATATAAAATGCCGTATATCATGAGTTAATTTTTACAGTACTTTAAGTACTGTAATGGTGCTTCACGGTAATACGACTACCTTGAATATTATTTTGGTAAAAAAAAAACCCAAAATTGAAGAAAAAGAGTGTGGACGAAGGTTATGAAAGTCAAGTTTTTTTTTCTAATTGGACGAAAATTAATAAATATTTTTTATAATTTCCCTTATTATTATTATTATGCAAAGATAAAAGCATGGTTTAAAAAATGAATCCCACCAACCAATTTTCATAGTTCAAACTTGTAGCAGTAGGTGACCAGTCCGAGTCATTCATGAGATCATGACTCGACCCAATTCGCCCTAAAACCATGATTTATGTGTTTCAACATTATTAAATCACTGGTTTTTATACTTATTGAGAATCCTAAACCTTGTTGTAACGTTATAAACAGCCAAAATTCAATATTCTTAAGTTCTTCTACATTTTTTGTTTTTTGAAAAAATTTGCCAAGTTGCCTAAACCATCGGACTAGAAACCAGCGGGTGATCAACTCTGCATTTAAGCTATCCAAAGTTGTAGTTAAAGGAGGAGCTCCCCTCGAACAAACTAGCAGTTTATGCATTTGCCCATTCATGCTGTAAGAAAAAGCAACTACATATAATAATTTCCAATTTAGCCCTAAATAAAAACTGACAATAATTAATAGTAATAAAAATAATAGCTTTCAATTTAGCCCTAAATAAAAAATGATAATAATTAATACTAATAAAAACAAACTTCTACATACTAGCTTTCAATAGGAAATGCATACAATGATGCTATTTGCTTTTAATACAATGAGGTAAAAAACATTATTGACTGTTTGATGCAAAATCTGAGGAGGGCGGTTGAGGATGTATCTTTAATTGAACATAAAGTCCGAAATAAAATTTCTTGAACGTTATGATCCACTTCAATCTATTGAATTTCACATCCAATGGCTAAAATTGATTGATTTTCTTGTAATAATAAAAATAGTATCGTAGTATACAATCCCTTTTTCAATCTTGTAAATCAAAAAGAAAAAGTTAGGGTTCATCGCATTTGTAAAAAAGATAGTATTTCACGATGTATCTCGTGATAGTAGTTTTCACATCAAAAAAGGGTGCAGAAAGTAGTGCAAAATGAATCATTTTTAGGGTTTCATCACGAGAATCAATGAACAAGTCTCTCACAAATATTGCATCTACTTCACGTGTACTTATTTATCACGTAATGAATGAACAACTTATTTCATTGGACACCAACCCAATTGTGATATGGCTTCATACATAAACAAAGCATTCAAAATCTTTCTCATTCTTAGCACTGTTTTATACAGCCAGTAGAATCCTTGTATATTGTTCAGTGTATGAGAAGAGCCGAGAAAAGAATGGTACATGTGTGCAGAATCCAAAATTTGGGATGCAATCTAATCAACTTAGGGTTAAAAACTAATTACACAGACAATAAAAAGAAGGAAGAAGAATTAGTTCAATATACATCAAAATAGCTCAGAAAAAAAATCAAAATCACACCCAAAATTGAAAATTTGAATAGTCCATTTCTAGGACTGGAACTCCTGTTTTACTAACAATATATCCAAACATGGGAATTGTCAATATTTTAATTGTTCAAGTAAACCCATTGAGCATTTGAATCTTCAGCATGCTAGAAATGCATAGCATAGTTGAATCTTGTCGAACTGCAACTAATAACAAGGTTCCAAATATTTCCATTAAACAAAGTCCCAAGTCCCAATCTGGAAAAAGTAAAAAAATCTTAATAATTAATAATCAGATTTTATCTAAACAAATATAAGAAGAGGTGACTCGATGCTCAACTCACAGAATGGAACCGTATCTGGTCCCAATGAGGATCTATCAGTCAAAAGAGAAAAAACAGACAAGGAAAAGAAAATAGAAATGAGCTGCCAATTAACAATATCAAGACAAACTAGATGTTCAGTAGGGATTGTATAGAATGATGCCATTCCCCTTCATCCACAAAGGTCACAAACAGATCCCTATGAATGTTTCAACCCCCAGCATTTTCTCTAGCAAACCCGGCTTGATTTGCATTGGACCCCAGTGGCATGGCAGAGCGAGATACCTTATGCCTGCAAAAAGAACATATGTTCACTGTGCATACACACAAATGGAGAGAGAGAGAGAGAGAGATCTAAAATACACTGTATCCAATAACTGAGGGAAAAAGTTTATACAAGTGCGAGGCTCTAAACATTCAAATTAGGGCGCACCTCAAAATTTCACTGGAAGAGGTTGGTTTGATGCCCAAATATCCTCAAATTGATCATCTTGACCTCAAGATGCATGGACATGAGAAAAAAATGAATTTCAAGTTTTGGAAATAGTGCATCTTGTAATGCATTTTTCAAGTTTTGGAAATAGTGTAATGCATCTTGTAATGCATTTTTCAACCATCAATTATCAAGATTTTCAAGTTTTCATAGATCTGCTCGATCTACACTATTTTTGAAGCTTTAAATTTTATAATTAGAGATGAAAATATATTTTAAGGCTATCACAAAGATTTAAGAGAGAGAGTGGAGAAAAAATCTATTACTAAACGACGATGATGAGAGAGACAGAAAGAGAGATATATGTTCAATATGCAATAAATAAATTAGAGGGAGCAGATCATATCTATTAGAAATGCTAGAAAGTGATATGAGAGAGAGACAAAGAAAGGTTCAATATGCAACAAATAATTACTTCGAATAGAAATGCTAGAAAATGAGTAGACACAGGCTATCACAAAGATTTGAGAGAGAGTGGAGAAAAAATCTAATACTAAACGATGATGATGAGAGAGACAGAAAGAAAGATATATGTTCGATTTGCAATAAATAAATTAGAGAGAGCAGATCGTATCTAGAAATGCTAGAAAGTGATATGAGATAGAGAGATAGAGAAAGGTTCAATATGCAACAAATAATTACATCCAATAGAAATGCTAGAAAATGAGTACACACAGAGATGTTCAATATGCAACAGATAAATCAGATAGAGATCATATCTATTAGAAATGCCAGGACAATGATGCTGAAGATGGGTGTGTGTGTGTGTGAGAGAGAGAGAGAGAGCTTGGTCCACTTTCTGACTTACAATCTTGATTGATTTCCAATCTAGAAAATGATAACTGTTGATGAGTAGTTTCATCAGGGTTTTAAAACAAGGATCGGTGCGGTGGCTTGCCCACCCACCAATCCCAATCCAGATCGTCCAGATCCGCAATCTGGCAAAACAGAAAAAGAAAAGCCATAATACCATTAGAGCACCAGACGGATGGTTTGAACCTCCGACCAAGTGCTATTTTCCTGTGCATGGTCAAGCCAACTAAGCTATTCCAACTATGTAATACAGTATTTGTATGTTATATTTAAGTAAAGATCTATTTTGCCAATTCCAACCAATAGCGGCAATGGCCTTGAACCATTCTCAATCTAGATCGACAATTTTTCATTCATGGGTTTCCCTTTTTATTAAGGATTTGAATCCATTTTATGGCTTTTCTCTTCACTATGTACGTTGGGTCAGTTTCGCAGTTGAGCTAGCTCCAATCTTCCAACGTTGGCATACTTACCGTCATCTTTTTAATGGTTTTTGTAAAGGAACAATGCTTCTTTTTTATACAAGGAAACCAATCTAGGAAATGAGGGAAAGAACGCAATGAAGATCATTTACTTACGGTACTAGAAAGTTATAATCACACCCAGCTATTCAATTTGAAATTAGATGGCTGGAAGCATTCCCATAAATCGAGCTCAAAGTCCAAGAAAAATTTCCTAAGCCATGTGACACCCTTAACCGCCCAATTTCCCATCTGACGGCATAAGGGTAACTGTGATCATCTCATACCAAATACAAATGGTCTTTGGTGTACAATCCCAAGAACTGAATGGCTTTTTACTTTGTTATCTATTAGTTACTTTGACGGTCGCTATGTAATTTGTGGATACTGGCTCACGAATAACTAAAAATAAACGGAAAATGAATTAGGAAAACCATGTACTATATATTTCAATTTAGGACACAGTTTCTATGAGTTCATGTAGAAATGAGCCACCTCTTAAAAATCGATTTTTGAGATGGATTTTTTGCCCTAATTTTTAAGGACATGTAATCTCTAACATGGAGATCATGAATATGAATAAATAAATAAATTTTGAAAATTAGAAATAATAATTTTACTACGAAAACATTTGGACCATTAGTTTCAATTGCTTTTAGATGGAACACCCATTTGCATCCATTTTTAAGATGGATGCTTTATACCACAAGGACCCCAAATGTAGAAATGCGGTTCCCACCGCATGAAACAATTTTTCTTCAAAAAATATAATTACTAGATTAATTTAGAAAATTATTACACATGCATGTGATACAGTGGTCATGTTTTCTGATCCAACACACGTGCAAATATGTCAGAACCAAGCCAAAGACAAGGTGATTAGGTGACAACACTTAGTGATTGAGTAAATCGATTGAGGATTCACACCTTCGACATTGTCACAAACAAAGTAATTGAATCTGAATCCTACAGGAAAACAAGGTTTCAAAGTTCACAAAACCAAAAAAGTAAATAAAATAAAATAAAGAGTTCCCCATTTCAATAGAAAGACAGAGAATCTGATAAATTCATAACCACATTTATTGTTTTTAAAGAAGAAGAAGTTACTCAACCACTCTCAACTACGAAGTAGCACATAACCAATCTCTGGCCACAAAATAAGGATCTAACAGCCAAGACAAATTGGATTTTAAAGCATAGCTCCTCAGATGTCTCTTCATTTCCACATTTAGCTTCGGAAATTGGAACGATAACTTACACATTGAAAAGATCAACATCACCGGAGCAGTCCCATATATAACAAGCAAACCAAAGCTTGTCAATACTCAATACTACCTAAGTAACCAAGAATTAGAAGTTAATTGCATAAACTGAAAAACCAAATGCAACAGCTTGTTTAAAAAAAATATCTGATGAACCCAACACTTCTAATATGCTCTTAACCTTAAATGTGTAAAGAAGTGTAAGTTGACGAAAGAACGAAAAATGAAACTTGAAACATTAACACCAATATGCAAATATGTCAACGAAAAATGAAAATTTACCTCAAAAATGGGTAATAAAAAGATGAAAAGACAAGCAACCCACTATTAAAAATGGAGAAACTATATAGGCAAATGTCAAAGCCAATAAAAAGGAAATCTAGGGCATTTTCAGGACCAAACTAATCACTGAGTTAGGAGTTGAAGAAAATTTTATCAGGAAACTCGATCCGTCAAAATCAACTCTCATGCCAAATCTCGTAATGATTAAGCCCAAGAGTGTCATGACTGATGCATGAGGAAGATTAAC